CCAGTCTTATTATTCACATACTTGTGCTTGTTCATATTTTTGAAGCTATAAGACTTGTCTTCCACAAATGCTTCTCTCATTTTAATACATTCATTCTGTCAATGTAAAGCATTTGAACTTATCATTATCCTATAGTGATTCACATCACAAGGCTATTCTTTAGAAATTAGCTATCCATAGATAATACTATTTTATGACAAATTGTAAATATACATCAAGAATTAGATGCTGCTTCCTAAGCATCTGATATTATTTAAACGACAGCAGAGTGGAAACTGGGATCCATACATCTCCAAAAGCGATGCCTATTTGTTAGAATTGTATCTACTTCAGTGCAGTTAGTCATAGTTTAGCACAGACATGTCAAACACAAGGCCCAGGGGCCAGATGCGGCCCGCGAAGTGGTTTCATGTGGCCCGCGAAGCCATCCTGGAAACAGTGAGGGAATGGTCCCCTCTGCCTTGGCCCTGGCCCAGGCCAGCTGGGAGCCAATGTACAATTTTGTGGTGGCCATCTATGCTGAAACCAGTGGCGTAGCGTGGGTTGTCAGCACCCGGGGCAAGGCAAGTAATTTGCGCCCCCCCTCCACAGTGGGCGGCGACCCGGCGGCTCGGATCGGATTCGCACAGCCAGCACTGCAGAGAGAGTGAGTGAGCCAGGCAGGGGCAGAGAGCTGCGAGTGCGAGCGCGCCCCCCCAGATGTTGCGCCCGGTGCAGCCGGCCCCCCCTGCACCCCCCACGCTACGCCTCTGGCTGAAACGCATTCAGTCTTAGCTCCATAAGCCCCCCTCCCCGCATGGCCTGAGACGAACAGTGAGGCTCCTCCAGTGGACCATGCCTTGGCACTTGCCCTGGTCCCACTCCCTTCTGTCAGAGACCCTCAGATCTGTCCCACTCTTGCCCAGGCCCCCACAGGCACCCTTGACGATGTAGAGCTGGCCACACCCACTCCATATACGCCCACCCAGTAGGCCGCACCCACCCTGGCCACCCCCCCCCCGAGGGCAACTGCAATCCTGATGCGGCCCTCAATGAAATTGAGTTTGACACCCCTGGTTTAGCATGTATGCACTTAGCCATAGCAGATTTTTGGTTTTAGACATTAGTGGGATTCAAATATGTGAACAACCGGTTCTCTGTGTGGATGCCGCTTCCAGAAGTCCGTTCTGGGCCTGGGCAACATAAAATTAGCTACCGGTTCTGCCGAACTGGTGCAAACCAGCTAAATCCCCCCACTGGTTTTAGAATATATCCAAAGGAGATCTCAATATCTCTAGATTGACTATAAAGATGGTGAATCTCTAGGTTGGTATAATTACTCAGAGTTTAATGGCAAATTACATACCTGGAGAGAGACAGGCCTCTTTTTTTCAAAACTCAGCTTTCTTTCAATAAAAGTTACACAGTGATTTTCCTTGATACAACTCAAATTGTGAACATCTTCAAGAACCTGATCCTGTATTTCATTGATACTTGGAGAAGATTTCTGCAAATTATAAAAGAGCCTCAAGGTTACCTAATTATTCTGCAGCTTCAAGTATGAAGAAGCTTCTACTAAGAACCTTATCTCTATCACAGATTATAATAGAGACATATTAACACATTGTAACTACATGTGCTTACTAGCCGTTCTGCAAGCACATTTCCAGGTTTCCAAAATCCTAGTGCCTAACTGATGAGCTGTGTTTGCTGTATCTTCCAGAAAGCAGTTAGGGAAAGAACTAATTGTTCAGCTGCATATGTTAATTCATTTTAATTCATGCCTTATGGGGGGGGAAAAACTTTTTTGAGGCAATAGTGCTGAATCAGAAAACATTGGCTAGCAAAAGACCTAGCTGAGCAAATTTAAATGTCAGATGCAAGGATATGCCCCTTCCAGACAATGCAATCCCCTCTGCTTACTTAACTGGAGCTTAACTACCAAAGGGATGTGCAGACAATTGTTCTCATAATTTATTAGCTCCTGGATTTAAATACGGTGTGCACCTTCCGTATAGGAGCATGGTGGGTCAAGTGGTTGGAATGCTGGGCAGGAGGTTAGCTAGCCCACGTTCAAGACCTGGGGGCTGCTGTGGTGCAGGGTTGAGTTCTCGTCCTTCACTCCAGCTGCTGACAGGGACATGAAAACGAGCTCCAAACTGGGCTTGCCCAGGGCAACGGTGATGACACTGGCTAATGCTTTCAATCCAGAAGCACTTCAGTGCTTCTAGTTCAGGGGTCTTCAAACTTGGCCCTTTTATGACTTGTGGATTTCAACTCCCAGAATTCCTCAGCTAGGCACGCTGGCTGAGGAATTCTGGGAGTTGAAGTCCACAAGTCATAAAAGGGCCATATTTGAAGACCCCTGTTCTAACTGGATGCTCCTAACTTTCCCTGTAAACAGAGATCAGTAACTCATGGGCTGCAATTTACACACAACCACCCAACTTCATTTAGGTCCCCTTTTCTAAAGTCATCATTGTCAACGCTGCTAATATTCAATATTCTTGCTTTGACAAAATATGCAGAACTGTCTGGTATTTTTAGAGTTAATTCAGATGAGAATGAGAGAGGAGAGAAAAGCATGGGGAAGGGAACGGAAATGAATCTTTGCCCTCCAGGTTAATTGGAAGATGTGAATAACGACCCCAAAACAGGGGAGGGGAAATGCCTGGAATGTTATGTGCAAAGGAAGGGAAATTCAGATCTTGGCATTCTCCATGCCGTGCTGACATTCCTCTACACTAATAAAGGCTTTTTACGTTAAACCATGCCTGAAAGTTCTTTGAAGTGTTTCATTAGTCAGACACATGACAATCATTTTGCCAGCAAAACAAAACAAAAACTATACACATTTCAGCTTTTGTTTTGTTTAAAATGTGAATGATGTGAATGGGGACAAGTATCTTCTGGGAGACCTTCCATCCCATTGATACCTTTAACTTGAAAAAATCTCAGAGGCAAAAATGACCTTCCACGTTTTGGTGACATCACTAACCTTCCTATGATGCCTTTGAAAATGGAAAGTGCAGACCCGATCTAAAGAAAACACTCCATCCCTAACAACATTTCATCTACCAGCAATGTAACTACCACTTCTTCAAAAATTCTCCACGATTTGTTATCATTCAGTTGGATGAAGGTGAATTCGCTTTTTCAATTTTCTTTCAGAGACCACCAGTTCAGCTCAAACAAATTGTGGTTTAAAATGTGAAAGACAATTTGAATTGCAAACATAAGAAGCCTCCCTTCAAAAAAGCAAGAATTACAACTGCTTTCAGCAGGGTTCTAGTACCTCTGGTTTAATTGCTAGTAACTGGGATTCGTTGGTTGAAAAGGATTGTGATGCTGATGACATCATGTCTTTCAGGAGAGCGATGAGACAACACAGGCAACTGGTCACAATTTTCTTTGCTGCTTCATTGAACCGCTGTAGCTCCTCCACCAGCTGAGCATTGAGGGCCTCATATTCTTTCCTGGCCAGGTCAGTATCATCCCCTGAAGCCTTTTGATACAAGCTACTATAATCCAGAAGTTTGTCATAACGTTTTTGGATGAGCTTCTGGGGGCCGAAGAAAAGAGCCTGCAGTGCAGTCAATGGAATCAGCACCAACCTATCTACTTGATTCAGCTTCATGCATTGGAAGAAGGGAAGGCAAAAGAGACATATCAGCAACATTCCCATTCGTTAAACAACATTAGCATCACTTTGACATAAGGATGGCATCTCAGTCTTTACCTCCCATATTTCTAAGCACACTCAAAATGCCTCCTAGTTGTGGGCTACAGATAGCAGCATGTTGGCAAATAAGGTAGTCTGTATCTTGCATATATTAGCCTAAGCAAGTGAAATTGGACTTTGTATTTGTGGCATTCAGCCAAAATACAGGTAGTCCTCAACTTACAACAGTTCATTTAATGACTGTTCAAACTTATAACGGCACTGAAAAAAGTGACTTATGACCAGTGGTGGGATTCACATTTGTGAACAACTGGTTCTCTGTGTGGATGCCGCTTCTGGAAGTCTATTCTGGGCCTGGGCAACAAAAAATTAGCTACCGGTTCTGCCGAAGTGGTGTGAACTGGCTGAATCCCACCACTGCTTATGACCGTTTTTCACACTTATGACTGTTGCAGCATCCCCTTGGTCATGTGATCAAAATTTGGAAACTTAGCAACTGACTCAAATTTCAGACAAGCAAAGTCAATGGGGAAGCCAGATTCACTTAACAAACCTCTACTAACTTAAAATTGCAGTGATTCATTTAACAACTATGGCAAGAAAGGTCATAAAATAGGCCAGAACTCACTTAACAAATGTCTTGCTTAGCAACATAAATTTTGGACTCAATTGTGGTTGTAAGTCGAGAACTACTTGTGTATCACAACTGATTAGTACCATCATTAGCTATCTTGCTAAAAAGCATTATGTGAAAGTCTGAACTGAACCCTGGATGGCAGCAGAGATCAATAGCTGTGGGATCATATCATGAAAAGAATGCCACATGCGGGATTGTAACTTAAAGTATAGGAGAATTATATGGCAAAAAGCTTAGGAAGGAAGGAAGGAAGGAAGGAAGGAAGGAAAGAAGGAAGGAAGGAAGGAAGGAAGGAAGGAAGGAAGGAAAGAAGGAAGGAAGGAAGGAAGGAAGGAAGGAAGGAAGGAAGGAAGGAAGGAAGGAAGGAAGGAAGGAAGGAAGGAAATGTTTTGCGTACCCAAGGAACTAAGAGAAGGGACAATGTATCTGAATGAAGATAATCTGTTCTCATAGAGTTAGTGAAGACGTTTCAGGATGTGAAATAGTAAAGCTATTTATATCCAATATTTGCTAGTAATAAATTATAATAATAATTTAATGTTCTAGTTTAGAGAATCTTGCTAAATTCCTGGTTGTCTTAGGAGGATCAATTTAGATAATGAATAATAAGGTGAAACCCTAATTCAAAAATATAGAATTTTCCATGCCATAGGTTTAAGTTACAAAGTTTATGTTCAGGTGTAAAATTTACTGGATGAGTCACATTTTCTATTTGAATTCATTTTGCAAAGTTGTTGCAAGAATAAAGATGGGAAAAGACATACTAGATTTTCTTCCTTTAGAAGACCACAGCTAGATGGTTGACATGGCTTTTATCCTCCAAACAGCCAAATAAAGTTTGTGGCTAAGCAAGATTTTTTTTTTTTTAAAAAAAGTGTCCCTAATCTATATCCATTATTTACATTATATTCATTCTCAATTCATATCTTTTGAATCATTCTTCTGATATGGATGGCTGGATTTTGTATATACTTAATGTAAATCGGAATCTATAGTAACTAGGCTAAAAAAACAAACTGTATTAGATTTGTTGTGTAATATATACACCTTTTTCACAAAATCCATTTCCAATCATTTTAAATCTATATATTCAAGAACTTACAAATAGTTTGCTGGGATGCCCAGCATTAATCAATGTATCTGAAGATATGTTTGCCCCTTTTTCGTTCTCATGTATCAGATCCTGAAGATCACTTATGCACTGTGCTCCGAGAAATACAGAATCCTGGAAAAAAAATGAAATGGGCAAAAATAATGTTACATATACTCACAAACCACCACTCACGTGTATACTTGCTCAATAATATTTTCAGTAAGAAGTGAATTCTTATTTATGAAACAATCTGCTTGCTAAGCACTTTGCTGTAATATTTATAAAGCTATGTAGATAGGTATGTTAATAATCCAATTTGCCTAGTATTCATGAAATGTGAAATGGCTTTTTGGTTAGGTATATAAGCATACACAGTCA